GAGAGAAGAAGAATAGAGAGGAGGGAAGGTAAGGGTAGGGGAGGTAGGTACGTAACAAAAAAAAAAAAATTGGAAAGGAGGACTCAAAAGATCAGTGAGGCCACTCCTGTCACTCCTGTCCTGACACGTGACAGTCACATGGATGTTAAGGATGAAGCCTGAGATAGAATCACTGCTTTGGCAATTACAATCCTTCTGCCAACCTTCTGAATTCAGGGCTGAACTTGCTCCTCTCGTGGTAACTATCCCTGAGCCCAGACTTGCCAGCATTCAGCTCAGCTCAGCTCCTACCTGTGCCTGGGGGACTCAGTTCAGCACCTGGACATGCCCACCAGACCGGAAGCTCCAGGAGGGCCAGGGCTACATCCTGCAGATCACTAGTTCAACGGCAGCTAGCAAAAAAACAAGTGCTCAGTAACGATTTACTGAATGCCTGGCTGAAGCCAGCTCCGTGCTCCCTCTCAGTTGTCGGCAAGCCCTGCCCCTGCCTCCTCCCAACACTCAGAGTCACGGGCGATGGACGGGCTCTCTGCTCTCCGCAGTGGGCAGAGCTGCCGCAGCAGCACTGCTAAAACGGTCTCAGAGGCCACATCTGACCTTGAGCCACCCTCCTTTCTGCTTGGCTAAGCATCGAATGGCTTCCTCGTTTTGCTGCCTTTCAAGCCTAGAGCAGTGGGTTTAGTACAAAGGAAGACACAATGGTTGTTTTGTGTTTTGGGGAATCAATTTCCCTTATGTAAGAGTTTAACTGGTCGACTGCACTGCATGGTGGGATGCGGACGGGGCTGTGAGAAACATGGTGTGGCTTCCGGAGTCAATGCCCAGGTCTCTCTGAGCCTCAGAAAATCTGCTTTTCCCACAAACACTGGCTGCAGGAGAAAGAGTGTGGCCTGGAAGACAGGAGACCGAGTACCTTTGAGCCCCTGGGTGGCCACGTGGCCTTGGGCAAGCCCCTCAATGCGCCATCATGTAACATGTACCCTTTCTGTGAAATGGGTAGGTGGTCTCAGCTCCCCTCTATACGCTGCACTCGGAGTGGGTTAGTGCTGCTGCCGGGGGGGGGCTGGGTGGATGGGGGAACACCTACAAGCAGAGACTCCCCCCGGGACCCCTGACAGCCTCCCAGAGCACTGTCCCTAGAGCAGGACCCGGCACCACCCTGAAGCGGCTTCTCAGTCACTGGCCTAGCCCTGGTGACACTGGCTGGAAGCGGCTAAGAGAGAAATTTGGAGCACAGGCTTTGTGGGTCTGGTTTCCCTCGCTGGGTGCCTGATTGTGGGCAAGTCACTGAAACGCTCTGAGCCTCAGTCTCCCCGCATGCCCAATGGAGCCTTCTTACCCAAGGGGTTTTGTGATGATCACAGGAGACAGTGCCACAAAAGTCCCCAGTGGAGGGCCTGACACAGAATGAGCGCGTGGTAAATCTTAGCTATTATAGCAATAGACATTATTTATGGCTTAATTCCATACAAAATGAATAGTTCCAAAAATAATAAGATTAGAGATTGCCGAGATCCTAGGGATCTTTTCTAAGCCTCTAGTTGTAGCGACGAGGAAACTGAGACCCTAAAGGAGAGGGAGGGACTTGCCCTAAGACCCACAGGCTGAAACAGGACTGTCAACCAGAATTCCAGCGCTTACATAGGGTGGATGGTTAAGCGTCACTCCCAGCCCCCACGAGGGCCCTGGCTGGGGCAGACACAGCCCACCACACCCTCGGCTACAGGTGTCTGGTGTCTGGCTCACTGAGGCGCTTGCCCCCAAACACAGCCCCATCTGGAACATAAACTTTACCCAGAGGGCTGCCGGTACAGGGTTCTGTCCACAGCAGGCACTCAGTAGAGCCCCTGGCACGACTTGATCCAGGTCATTCCCCTGTTCTCGGCCTGTTTTCTTAAGGAAGACGAAATGGTGTTTAAGAACCTTCCAGCTCTGAAAATCTGTAGTTTCAAGAACCAGGCTCAATTAACCACAAACAAGTGGTGGGAAACCTCAGTTAACTGGAATCCTTCCCAGACGTTCCTTCCTTGGGAGAAACAGGCAGCGCCCAAGAAAGCATAACCATGCCCCGTCCTTGGTAGTGTCTCCCGGTTCGCCGAGCCCTTGGGCCCACTTTGTCTCATTGGCTACTTTCTTGTTTTGCAGACAAACAGACAGGCTCAGAGCAGCCCAAGGTTTCCCTGGTCGGGACCAGAGCTCAGAACCAAGGTCAGCACCTAGAACAGTGCTGTGCATGGAGCTCTCGCTCCATAATGGCCCGCCAACAGGACACACAAGCAAGACGAAGGCGCTCTGCCCTGGATGGGGAGTTGGGAGGCCTGAGACAGGCTTGGATGGGGAGTCAGGAGGCCCAAGACAGGGCTTGCGCCCTCCTGTCTCTCGCTGGCTGGGCCTGTTGCTCTGCCTGTAAAATGAGGTGATCAGACGAAAGGTCCCACTCCCTGCTGGGCTGTCTCAGCTCCTCCTCCTCCTTCTCAGAGAACCCAGCACGCGGGGCCAGAATTTGTCTACAGCCTGCCCTCCACTCTCAGAAGACAGAGGTACTGCCTTTATCTGTCATCAGATCTTCCCAAGCCCAGCCCCAAACCAGAGCAGAAATGGTTCCTGGAAATGTTTATGGGAGGGAAGGGAGAAAGGAGGAAGGGAGGGAGAGGGAAGGGGAGGGAGAAGAGAGGCTGAGATCACCGCCAGCAATGATCTACGACTCCACAAAGCTAAGTTCTAAGGCAGTTCACCAACAGTGTGTATGAAGCACAGCCACATTCCTGGTGGATATTCCACAGGGGAAGCAAAGGGACATGAAATGACACGTGAACCCCTTTCAGCCCAGGCACAGTTAACTTCCCAAAGCTCAGGCCCCGTGGGTCCATGCGTGTGAAGGCCACCAGGCTGGGAAGTCCCTCCTTTCCAGCAGAACCTCAGTGATGCTGGTGTCGGAGGCCAGGGCTCACCTTCATTTGCCAAGCTCGCCAGTCACACATCAGCGCTTTCCAATCCAGAGCCTTAAGGTTCCAGTTCAGGAACACGATACAGCAGGATTCTGCGGTATTCAGGAACACACAGAGGGATGGCTCTTATAAATAACTCCTGGTTAGAACAGAGCTGAAAATAAGGAGACAGAAGAGGAAGCAAGTCGCTAAGCACTTATTGAGTTGGTAACACTGGCTCGAAAATCTTAGTGCAAATGGCTGGTCTGGTTTATTTCCTTCTCATCAAAAGCTCAAACATAGGGCTGAACCTGGAGGCACCAAGACGTGTGTGTGCGCATGTGTGTGTGAGGATGTGTTTGAAAGGGCGGGGCTCTCCTCGGCTGATGGGGTCTCAGCGAAGGTCCTAACACGCAGGCCTTATATCAGATCTCACAGCATCACTTAATGGACTCAGTGGGTTGATGGAGCCTTGGTCGAAAGTTCCCGGACTTCTCTGAGCCACTGTCTTCAGGGGAAGGTCTGACTGCTGGGCTGGCTCTGAGGTTCTAGACAGCAATTCATGGCAGAAGACTCAGGAACCCCAAAGTCTGGATTAAATCTTAACCGTGCTCACACGTCTGTTCTCTTTTCCGTTCTGCGTAGCGCCTTCCTTTAACTGCAAAGAGGCCACTACAGTTTGTGTTCATTCAGATGCCAAAACTGAGCGTCAATGTGCTTGATTCACTTGCAATCCCCAGGGCCCGATCTCGAGGTGCGACCCAGGAACATGCTACCCACCGGCAGGGCGGCCTCTCAGCAAGAAGCTGACTCCGCTCCGCCCCCATCCCTGCCTCCCCGCCCGAAGCTGAGTGTCCGGGGAAGCGCCAGCCTTAGCGCCAGGCCCAGGCCCTGGCCCTGCCCTGCGGGCAGGTGGGCGAGGAGCGAGGTTCCGTTCGCCGGGCGGGCGGGCGGGCAGCCTGCGGCGCCCTCAGCAGCAGCTGCAGGTGCCCGTGTGCACACGCAGGATGCCGCGGCTGTGCAGGTGCAGGAAGTTGAAGATCTCGGAGGGCATGGCGTGGAAGCCCGGGCGGGGCTTCACGTTGTCGTAGTAGTGGTGGGTGATGTAGAGGCCCGAGGGGTTCATGGGGAAGGCCCAGAAGCCGAACAGGTGCACCTCCTCGCAGAGCTCGAGCGCCGCGGTGGCCAGGATGAGGCCGGTGCTGATGCGCTTGGCGCGCACCCCCAGGCTGAGCCAGTAGCGCGACACGTTGACCAGGTACTGCGGGTGGAAGTAGTAGACGGCCTGCGGCGACTCGAAGTCGTCCAGCACGTACTTGACGCGGATGGACACGTCGGTGTTGCGCGTGTTGTAGAAGGCGGGCAGCAGCACCGACGCGTTCTCGTACACCTGCAGCACGCGGTAGAAGGGCCGCCGCCACTTCTCCAGCTTGTGGAACCTGGCGGGGGGCGCAGGGTGAGAGGGCGCCCCGGGGCCCTGGCTTCCCCACCCCTGACCCTGAGGTCTTTTCAAAGGACGTAGGGGACCTTCAAGGCCACCCCCCGCCTTTCATCTCAGTCACTCAGCCCCTGGAATGTCCGCCTTCCCCAGGCCAGTTATATTTCTTTAAGGGGGTGCAGGAGAGGGCGATCTAGACCCAAAGGAACAAAGAGCTAGTGTGTGGCTGCAGCGGGAGCGTGATACCTAACCCAGATGGATGAGAGAGTCCCCGCGGGCCCAGAGGGGAAGCGATGAGGGAGTGGAAGCTTTTCCTAGAGCCCCCAGGACACTCACCTGCACTGCCGTCCCCAAGATCCCCAACGAAGGACACCAACTAACTTCCCGCAGCCCCTCACTCACCTTTCTCTTTACATTAACCAGACCTCCGGGTTGGCTCATCTCACACCTCTCTGAATGCCCCTCATTCTGCCTACTCTGTAAATGTTCCTGGGCTCTGACTCCATCTACCAGCTCCCTCTCCTCTTACCCAGCATCTGACCTGGAGGTGAGACCATGCCCAGGATGTGGTTTTAACACATTAACCCCCTTCCCCGAGGCCTCCTAGATAGACCCCAGGGAAGAGGGGAGCTGGGAGTGGGGCTGAGATCTTTGCATGAGGCTTCTCCCCAGTGCCGACGGGACATGCTGTGTAGGGGGCTGCCTGACCCCATCACGCACTGGAAAGCTCTCTGGTCCATCTCTAGGTGAAGATAGTCTAGACCAGTATTGTCTAAAAGAAACACAACGCAGGCCACAAGTATAATTTTAAATGTTCTGGCAAGCACCCTTAAATTAATAGAAAAGAAGTGGGTGAAATTAATTTTGACAATCTATTTTATTTAACCTGACATACCCCAAACACTATCATTTCAACATGTAATCAATATAAAAACTTAATGAGGTATGGCCCATCCTCTTTTCCATATTGTCTTTTAAATCGAATGTGTGTTTTGCATTTGCAGATGGCGCATCTCAATCTGGATAGCTACCTTTCAATGCCCCGGGGCCACTGGCTACCATACTGGACACACAAGTCTAGAAAGAGGGCCACTGACCTCTCTGTGATGATGCTGGGGTTCACGGTGACCACGTCCGTCTTCACCCCTACATCCATGGTGTACTTCTCAGAGATGGGGGGTAGGTTGCACCTGCAGAAGAAACAAGGCAGCCTGACTATGTGTGATCAGTCATTCTAGATGGAGATGGGGAGCTGGGGTGTGGGGACGAAAGGGATGGTGATCATATGGGCAGAGGGACACAGAGGAAGCCAGCTGGGTGGAATCTTTGTGGCCTGGACATGGAGGGCCCTTCCCTCACCAGCCCTGGGTGGCTCAGTGGTTGTTGTGAGATCCCACTGCAGCCTCAACCCAAGTCTCTTTGCCTTATGCTCTTATTTTCAACCCACCGTCTTTACCCAGGCTAAGGAGGAAAGTGAGGATCCCCAAAGAGAAAGGGGGTTCTACATAAGGAGGAAGAAATACAAGGACCAGCGCCTAGCTTAGATAAGGCCAGGGGGAAGCTCAAACTGGTGTCAGCCACAAGGCTACCCTGCTTCCCAGCAGTGCTTTCAGAAGAGTAGAACCCAACCAGAGAGGTGGCCGCCCAGACGACCTCACCAACAGATCTGCACAACCCCTGTGAGTCCTCAGTGTCTGCACATCTGTTACGCCATTTGCGCCCTTCCTGTAGATGTGGAGACTGAGGACCTGAGAGCTTCAACCACTTGCGAGGGACAGAGCTGGAGGGGGAAGGGACAACCCAGAGGAAGAGGGTCTGCAGAGGTGGAGGACGGGGAGTAATCACACAAACGGGTGGGGCACCAACAAGGGGGCGGGCACGGAGGGGGAGGGCGGCGGTGTAGAGGCAGCAGGTGCAGACGCAGGGCGATTCTTACCGAAAGACGAAGTCGGCGCTGTTGATCTCCCTCCCGCAGCGGCTGTTCTTAAGGATGCCGCCGTTGCCCACCACCGCACACTTCTTAAACTGGGACCGGTAGTAGGGCATGTCCTGGGGAGACAGGGACACAGCTGTCAGAGGCAACACTACCCCTGCCCTCCACAGGCACTCTCACCTCTTTGTCCCCGTCCATCTCCACTCCTCGTGGCTCCACAAGACAACCTCGTAGGAGAGAAAAGTGTTTAGTCCACTTTGCAGATGACAAGAGAGGTCAGAAGACTCATTTTTAGTTCCACGGGCAATTAAGAATAAGGTGGAACCAGAGCCGGGCCCCACAGCCTTTTCCTGGGGTTTCCAGAAAGCAGAGAGCACAGGTTATGGCTAGCCCTGCTTGCCTTTGGTTTTCCCAATGTCTGGAAGCTTGGCGTCTTTGTGACTTCTCATATACCTGTTTTAATGACTAACGCAAACCTTCTGGGGACGATGACAACAGAGACGGGGGCAGGGCCAGCCGGGACCTGGTTCTTACCCCTTTCAGCTCAGGGGGAGGTACAGACCCTCCCTCTGCTCCATAGGAAGGGCAGAGGCCTGGGACAGCAAGGTCATATAGACTGGGACAGATGCCAGGACTTGGCAGCAGCAGGGACAAGGGACCAGGGATGAGCCTGCAAGGCCACAAGGCCACATCAGGAGAGCAGAGAGAGGCTGGGACACCGGGACTCTGCAAAGAAAGAGCCTTGAGTACAGGGGAGCCCAGGACTTACCCTTGTGACGATGGCACCCACAGGGACACTGGGAGTGAGCATCCCACAGCACTCTGACCTGGTCACACCTCGGCTGGCGGGGTTACCTTGGCCTGGGCACTGGCCGCCTACAGAGGCTCCCTGGACATGCTTTCCAGGGGACCATAAGCAAGGAAACAGGAAAAGGCAAATACTGGCCTGATCAGGAGAACTGGTTCTGTCATGTCTGCTGTCTCGGCCTCGTGGGCAACCTGAGGCAGGTGGGACCAGGCAGGTTTAGGGTAGGAGCACAAACCCGGAGCCAAGGGTAGGGTGACCAAGCTTCCCACCTTGCCCAGGACTGGGGCACTTTGCCCTGGGATGCAGGACGTACATCTGGCCAAACCGGGAAAGTCCGTGAGGCAAACCGGGCCCCCAAGTCTAGAGACCCAATTCAGTCCTGGTTTTGCCCCATAATGAGCTGAGGGAACTAGGGACAGGTTTTTTTGAGTTCTTGGTAACTCAGTTTTGTAAATATTGTAAAATTTGTTACAAATAAAAATTTTGTAATTTGTGAAATAACGATAATAATGTGTATTTCCTGCAATTCAATGAGATGATGCAAAGAAGGTTCTCAACTTGGTTCCGTCAGTATTGTGGACCAGATCACTCCTTGCTGTGGGGGCTGACTGTGCACTGTAGGATGTTCACCAGCATCCCTGGCTTCTCCCCACTAGATGCCAAGAGTGCCGCCCTGTCGTGATAACCAAAAGCATCTCCAGACCTTGCCAAATGCCCCCACCCCCAGCCCCATATTGAGGAGCACAGGTGTGGATGGAAAGCCCACACAGTGCAGTGCTTGGCCCAGAGGGATCTCCACGAGGGACCAGGTGGTATCACTGGATGGCCCGGAAGGGCCCCTCCGTCTCTGACACCCGGACGCTGCCGGGCAGCCTTCCTTCTAGCTCACACCAGCTGGCCAGCCCTGCTTGATCGGTGGCCCCAGTCAGCACCTGGGGCTTCCGCTGGGACCATCTGCCAGATGAGCATCATGGAAAACCCCACTACAATGGAGTCATCAGGAATTAGGCTAAATCTAGGGGAGATGCTGCACCCGTCTCTGGGAGACCATCCTCCGTGGCACATTCTCCCTGGACCGGGGACCAGGACAGGGAAAAGACGGGCATCTCATGGCCAGTGGGGTAAACTGTGCTGTTTAACTTTTACCATAGAAAGAGAAAAAACCAAGTCCTCTTCAGAGAGATCATAAAGGGCTTTTGTGTTCGCTGTCAGTGTTTCCCACACTTCTATAAATCAAAAACTACCTGGGTACTTTCTGAAAATATAAATTCTTGGCTCCATACCAGAACCACAGAATCAGAATCTTCAGGGTAGGGGAGGTAGGAGCCAGAGAAGCTCTTTTTTTTTTTTTTAACAAAGCCAAAGAACTACCTTAGGAAAGTTCGGGAAACACTTCTGTGTCACATGCTCTAATTCAGGGGGTGGCAAATTGCAGGCCACATCTGACCAATCACCCTATTTCTGTACAGCTGGCAAGTTAAGAACAGGTTTCACATTTTTTTCAGAGTCAGAAAAAATCAAGAGAAGAATATTTTGTGCTGTGTAAAACATATAAAATTCACATTTCAGTGTCTAATAGGAACTAAAGTGTTATGGGGAACCAGCCACACTCATTTGCTCGTTCATGTCTGCGGCCGCTTCACGCTAGAACGATAAAGGTGAGTGGTGGTGACAGAGGCCATATGGTTTGCCTGTTTGCCAACCCCGGCTCTCCCTCCCTGGGCCTCAGCAGTCCATACCCACAGCCCTCCTTGGATCCATAGCTCATAACTGAGCTGTGTGTCACCCACTGGCATGACATGCATGAGATGCAAGTTCACCTGCTGTCACCAGCCTCACATTCCAGGCCTTGCAAGACCCACCTTGTAAAGATGGCTCGGACCCCACTGTACCCCAGCACCGCCGTGGGAGAGTACATTTGACACCTCTCCACCTCCAGCTCTTCCCTGGTGCCCCCCAGGCACAAACACACCAGAGCATCCAGAGCGAGTAACAAGAATATAGCGAAATTCTGGGCTTGGTGTCATTAAACACTCCCCCAAAGCAGGGCGCCCCACGCCCTCATATTTCATCCAGAGAGACCTGGATACGCCCCACCTCAACAGTTCTACAAACTGGACCCACTAAGCTTTGCCCTGGGCCCCACACTTCCCAGGAGGTGTTTATAAACGCCTTGAGTGGGGAGTGTATAGCTCAAGTGGTAGATCGCATGCTTAGCATGCATGAGGTCCTGGGTTCAATCCCCAGCTCCTCCTCCAAAAAAATATAAATAAACCTAATTACCTCCCCGCCCCAAAAAATAATTATAAATAAAATAAAATGAAAATAAACACTTTATTGAAACCTTCCTCCTCTTCAGATGGTAACCATCAGAATCAGCTGAAAACGCAGGCTCCAGGATCCTCCTCTGAGCATCCGATGCAGCGATCAGAAGTGAGTGCGGGCGCCTGAGTTACGTGACCTGAACACTTTGCTCATGTGGGTCATTCATCCTGTGGTCCTTCTGACCAGGGAGCCGCCAGGCCGGCCCTGAATGAACAGCCTACCGCTAGACTTCTTATCGGTGAAGGAAAAAACAATATTAAGTGTTATCTTGTCTGCGTCTCTGCTTTTTTAGATTTTCTGTTCTAAGCAGCCAAACCTATTCCTAGTCCAAACCCTAGTGCTCCAGACAAGGAGATGGAGGCCTTAAAACACAAGAGGACTGCCCAAGGTCATCCAACACGAGATCGATCTTTCAGGGCCTTGCTTTGCACAGTTTGCGATTTCTTGTGCACACAACCTTTGCGTGTGTTTTTGCTCTTGTGCCTCCCTTGGGTGGGGGACAAATGATTAATCATCCTCCCAGAGTTTCAGGATGTTCTTTGCAAGCAAGGCAATAAACCAAAACTTTACAACCACTTTCTTGCCAAAAGTTACTCAAATAACAGCCAGCCGGCATTCACTGTGCTCAGATAGAACCCCCAGAGGGCGGTCCACCGAGCCTAAGGGAATGGCCAGCCAGGGCCAGGACAGCGGGACGCAGGATCACGGCACAGTGATGCCAAGCTGCACGGACATGGCCCCAGAGGGCGCCACTGGGTCAGCTCCACTGCCCCGCCCAGACCGCCCCGCCCAAAGCAGCACCTTGGGGAACATGCGGAAGATCTCCTGGTTGATGTGGTAGATGCCGCTGGTGTCCACCTCGTACTTGAGCTTCGTCCCCAGGGGAGTGTTCTTCTGGGTGGTGAAGAGGAAGGAGGGGGCATTGCAGCACCTGGACAGAGTGGACCTGCCAGGCAGGAGACAGACAGGGACAGATCAGTGACCCGGGGCAGAGCAGAGCCTCTCAGAGAACAGAGGGGGTCACGGAACTGAGACCCGCCAGGGAGGCCAGGGGGCACCATCCTCTCCCACCCAGCCCTTCCCACCCCACACCTCTGCTCATGCTGTCCCCTGCCTCCAACAGTCCTCCCAATGCCCAAGCCTTTCAGGGTCTAGCCAGGTCGCCCTCCGTGAGCTCCCAGCTGCCCCGTCCCCATTGGCCACACTGGCCTCTGAAGGCCTGGAGCACAGACTGGGCAGCACTCACTTCAGCATCTGCCAATTCCCCCCGCCCAC